GCTTCTCCCTCTGACCCTCCTCCCTCTCATGCTCTCTGTCTCTCATTCTCTCTCTCAAATAAATAAATAAAATCTTAAAAAAAAAAAAAAAAATTAGCATAATTCATGGAACACCTCTTTTTTTTTTTAAAGATTTATTTACTCATTTGGGGGGGGCAGAGGGAGAGGGAGAGTCTCAAGCAGACTCCATGCTCAGTGCTTAATCCCATAACCCTGAGACCACGACCTGAGCTGAAACCAAGAGTTGGATGCTCAACCGACTGCACCACCCAGGCGCCCAAGAATACCTTTTTTTTTTAGCAGTAGGTTTTTAGATTTTTTATTTTATTTGCTTATAGAGAGAGAGAGCACAGGCAAGGGGGAGCGGCAGGCAGAGGGAGAAGCAGGCTCCTCGTGGAGCAAGGAGACTGATGTGGGGCTCCATCCCAGGACCTGGGATCATGACCTGACCCGAAGGCAGATACTTAACTGACTGAGCCACCCAGAACACCTGTTTTTTAACCAGGCACGGTGCTATATGCTTTGCCAGTAGTGTCTCATGTCCTCTTCCTAACCCAGCAGCCATATTACTGGCTTCATTTCTCTGATGGGAATACAAACTCTAAGAGGTTAAATGACTCCCCAGGTCAGAGGTAACAGAATGATGAACCCAGGGCAGGCTGACCCCGGACCCCATGCTTTTACTTACCACTAAGTCTTAAGAGGGAAAAGAGATGGGGCGCCTGGGGGCTCAGATGGTTAAGCGTCTGCCTTTGGCTTGGGTCATGATCCCAGGGTCCTGGGATCGAGCCCCACATTGGGCTCCCTGCTCAGTGGTAAGCCTGCTTCTCCCTCTCCCTCTGCCTGCTGCTTCCCCTGCTTGTACACTCTCTCTGTCAAAAATAAATAAAATCTTTTAAAAAATAAAAAATAAATAAAAAAGAGGGAAAAGAGAAACCAGACCTTGAGGTACAAAGGCTCCAACAAAACTGAAAGACACAAAGAATCTGCAGGGACCAGTGCTATTACGCATTTGCTTGATCCACTTCTCTATCGGTAAATGCTGCTTGAGCCAGCCCCAGGAATCGGACCCTTTCATGCCCTCACAAAGGGAAAGGGAAGCCTGTTAAGGAAGCTTACTATATGGAGTATTCTGGATGCTAGCACAGTGCCTTTCCATAATGGGAGCTCAAATATTTGTTTTATGATACAGACTATTCCCATTTTCATTCTAAAAAGTAGATTTTGGGGGCGCCTGGGTGGCTCAGTTGGTTGAGTGTCCAACTCTTGGTTTTGGTTCAGGTTGTGATCTTGAACCCACGGTGGGTTCCATGCTCTGCACGGAGTCTGCTTCTCTCTCTCCCTCTGCCCCTCTCCCCCAGTGCTTGCTCTCTCAAATAAATAAATAAAATCTTTAAAAAAAAAACAAAACAATGGAGTGCCTGGGTGGCACAGTCGGTCAAGCATGTGATTCTTGGGTTTCAGCTCAGGTCATCATCTCAGGATTTCAGGATCGTGAGATCGAGCCCTGGGTCGGGCTCCACGCTCAGTGCAGAGTCTGCTTAGGTCTGTCTCTCTCTCTCTTCTGCCCCACCCCACTGCAGGCACTTGCTCTCTCTCTAAAATAAGTAAATCTTTTTTTTTTTTTTTTATCCATCTGACAGAGAGAGAGAGAAACAGAGCAAGCACAAGCAGGGAGAGCAGGAGAGGGAGAAGCAGGCTCCCCACCTGAGCCACCTAGGCGCTCCAATAAATCTAAAAAAAAAGTAGATTTTTGGCCCCCAAACAGCAGTCCCTTTGGCGTTCTCTTTAGCATTCATAGGCTTTGGAGTCAGACCTATGGGGGGTGCGGCGGGGAAGGATGGCAGCTGTGACCCACAAGACAGTCATATCACCTCTAAGCTGAGGCCCTGCTTTGTTGTGAGGATTAAATGAGCTGACATATATGAGAAGTGTTCTACACACAGCATGTCCTTAATAAGATTTCCTTCTCTTCCCCGGAAAGCTGAATAGGTTTGGAGGCTGCCTGAGGAAATCATGGCACCAGGCTGTAATCCTAGAACTGCTATGGATGGGACTCCTTTACTAACTTAATGAGGGTAATAGATAAACTCCATTTGTACCAATCCTGTGACATATACCAGTGGGGGAGTAAACTTACCAATATTTTAACTTTACTTTAGTCAAGTCATATACTTCAATCACCTAAAAAAAAAAAAAAATCAAATGTTTAAGCATTGGTAATGCTCTGCAGTTGAAAAAGACTGACTAAAAAGACATTTATAGAGGGACGCGTGGCTGGCTCAGTCGGTAGAGCATGTGACTCTTGATCTTGGGGTTGTGAGTATGAGCCCCTTGCTGGGTGTAGAGATCACTTATAAATAAAATCTTAAAAAAAAAAAAGGTATTTACAAAATAGTGAAGAAAAAAAAATCTATCACTAGTCAGAATTCTCCTGAAGCACCAGACATTATATTTTGTTCTCATTTTTAAATCTGGAGGAAAAACCCATACCACACACACAGCATAACCTCTCCTTTTCCTTCTTCCAGTGGATCACTCAACAGGTGTCCATGGATGCTGCAGGTGAAGGTTCCTCTATCTAATCTACTACTGGGTCATACAGAGGACAGCACATACAGAACCATGAAACCCTCCACAGAAACAAATCACGTAGCTTAAAGGTTAAAGCTGTACCTTTGGATACTGAGCCCTCTTCCTTTTATTCCACACTTTGCTGTATTAGAAAGACCCCAAATCAATTCACTTTAAAAAACAGCTTTAAAATACTTTAGTTTACAAAACAAAAAGATTGAGGGGGGCGGTATATCCTGCTAGAAGTTATATTACATTAGGTTAGGACAAGTGTGACAATATTCATATATCTACATCTATATCTATATATAACTATTGAAGGGCACCTGGAGAACCTCAGGACCCTTGTGTCATATCAAGGGGTTCAGCCTTGGATTAAATGCCAAGAACTCAGGGCAGAGACAAAAGTATTGAACACTCAGTCACTAGTGGTGCCAAGTAATGAGCACTATGAAGTCTTCTATGCTAATGGTGTCAAGGGCTTGGTAGCCAGAAGCATGGCTGGCTGGGGCCTAGAGCACCAGCTACTATCCTCCAGTTGGGAGTCCTGGCCTTCACTGTAGAGGAATAAGCACAGCTGGTTCAATGTCTGCTTGCCCTGAGGGCTCATCCTACAAGGGGCCATGGGGCCCTGTGTGTAGAAGCATCTGGCACTGCCACAGAAAATGAGACATAATAGGCAGTTTACTCTTGGCCAGACCTCATCCCTAACTTTGTTTCATGATCCTAACACTGAACCACAAGTTGGGCACCTCTTAATTATAATGCAGCTATTCTGGTCCTACTTACTGCTAAGAGTTAACTCCCTCTGCTGGGCCATCACAGCACTTCAATCAACTCTCCTATGCTACTTGTGTATGCTGTTCACCAGTCCCACAGAATTAAGCCCTTTAAGGTCAGGCTTTATTATTTCACACAGGAAAGGTACTTAAAACATCTGTCAAGTCTGACTGTTATGAAGCTAGCTACGGGCAATATGAAGCTAGAAAGCATGAAAAGAGGTGCCAAGAGAGGTCATACAAGGAAGGACAGAGGAACAGCTGTGATTCATAAGATACCTAGTGTCCCCTTCAGAAAGCCTGTATCATGCCAAATTGGTACGCCATTTCACCAAGGCCAGGGCCCCATGCTGGCAGAAAGCCTCAGCCTTTAGCCAGAAGCCTCGCTTATATAGCAGGTGCAGGCACTCTGCCTCCCTGATTGCCACCCCTACAACTGGCCAATGATGACCCACCACTCACCCTGGGGATAGGCCTCGAAGATATTCCTTCTGTGTCATTATTACCCACCTGCCAATAATCCAGACCAACATTTTGGGTGTTTCAACCCTGCCTGCCTAATGGGAGAACAGTGGCCCACAGTTAATCACAGGGTCTATGTATGACAGCAATTGTGGCAAGAGACCCATCTTGGAGTCCTTCATGTCACCAGGAGAATCAACAAGCAGATTTTGGCCCATGGAGCTTGCTGAGCCACAGGGACAACCAGCTGGGGAAGTCTGAAGTCCATGATTTACCATCCTCTCGGCTGGAAAAGGCCTTGAATTCCCCAGAGGAGAAGCCACGGCAGCAGCCAAGACAGGAAATGAAAAGACAGGTAGTTGTAAAGGATGAGATTTGTGAAGCCTCATTCCACAGGGCTTTCTCACAGACAGGGAGTCAAGGCATCAGGGAGAGGTGGATTCTTAAGTGCTCAGATGGAAGGGCAGGCAGATGGGGTAGGTCAAATCTGATGCTGACCAAGGGCACCTGAGAATTGCTTCCCCAGTTTCCAGAGGCTCAGACAGGGCCCCAGCCTCCTCTCTTCATAGGGATCCCACAGAAAGCAGAAGAAACGGTTCTATTTATTTCCTTTCCCATTCAAATGTACTTCCCATTCCTCACATTTCTGCACAGTGTGCTCAATTTTCTTCAGCTTTTATCACATTTATTTCCCAAACCCATCACAGAAGCTAAGTCATTTTTATTCCCAAGGGCCACCACACACTGGTAATTCAGGGTTAAAAGCTTAGCAGACCACTCACCCTCTGTCCCTCTATTGTCTCACTGGTAAACAGTATTGCTCACAAGCTTGTTAGGTTAGGAAATGTATGGGAAGCACTTAGCCATGTGCCTAACCCGTACCAAGTACTCACTAAATACATGACACTGTCCTCACCAGGCTGTGATTCTACGATGGGCTGCCTAGCCATCCCCCTTTTTTATCCATTTAGGTTATTTCCAGCCTTTCAGTACTATGAAGAGCCCTGTTATAAATACCTGGCAATATTACCTTCCCCATAAGCTTTTGGGGTTATGTTTCCTAAAGTGGACTTACCAAGCTGAGACAAATAACTCTTTGTAAAGGTGTTTCCAGATTATTTTCCCCCCAATTTGTAATGAAGCCACACTAATGACCATTGTCTTCCCTTTCCCACTGTGAAACTTTTGGTCAGTGAAGACAGGATGACTAAGTCCACAAGGAGAGGCAAGGTAGTTGTGGGGCTAAGAACATTTGCTTTTTGAAAAATAATCATAATGAGGACTTCTCATTCAATGTACAGATTCCTTTTCCATGTTCCGTCTTGTCTCCTTAGCAGCTCACTTGTGATGGGATGATGAGAACTAGGAAATACCCAAGTTTTTGGAAAGGCACAACCTAACCAGGATAACTGCTCTGGTATGCCACTGCCCAGAGCCACATTCAACCTTGTGACTCTGAGGCATGAGTCTGGTGTCACATGACTAATCTGTGAAGCTCAGGCATTCATAAATAGTATATTAAAAACATCCTGGACTGAAAACAGGTGTTAGTAAACTGCACTTGAACAGCAATTAAGACAAACCCTACACAGCACTAATTTGTTTGTTTACATATCCTGAAGGGGGTTAAAGAATCAACTCATTGCTGGTGGTGTTAAGCCCTAAGCCCCAGCATTTTAGGAAGAACAGTTCCATTTTTCATCTTCCAAGACATACTGTTTGACCTAAGAATGAAGTAAAACAAGATACAAAAACAAGTCTTTTGGTCCTATTCTGTAGTTAGGCCCCATTTTTAGTATCCCTTTTAAGACTTGGAATAATCTGTGCCAGATAACTTAGCTCTTCTGTCGCTTTCCTTAAGTTGAATAACTTAAGAGTCCCCTCCCCATAGCATATTCCCCAAACCTTCAACACTTTTTCCCTTTCACCTCTGGAACCTCGGGTTGGAGTCCTTTCCAGCCTCCTTCCAACCACTCCACCCCACCCCACCCCCAGCTTTCCTCTATTTAGGGGAACAGGTACAGCTTCAGTCCCCTAGACTGTGGGGGACTCTGAATCACAGGAGTCTACTCTGACTTATTAGTTTCAGAAACATCTCACAATAGCACATATTAATCAGCTTGACATGCAACTTTAGTTGTCATTCATAGTTACCTTAAGTCTCTGATTGAAAGCATCAAACAGCAGTTTGATCCCGTCCTGAGTCAGGTTAAGGATGAGGTCATGGCTTAGAGGAGACTGCAAAACAAAAAGTAAAGCACTCTGAACAACTTACTCAACAGCAACTAAAAAACCTTACAAATCTAAATGCAATGCACAGAGATTATGGAAGTGCAGATAGCCCTCCCTCGCCCAACTAACAAACTGTTGTGTGAATGCAGTGTCCTCTGCTTCCAGTCTGAAGCTGCTGCTTCCTAATACTGGATGAAAAGAGCCTCTTTCTTCTAGGCTTTGAGTAATATTACCTGAGGGAAAGGGCCAAGATTATGTGAATATATAGGCCATTTTCTTTGGAAGGTCCAGAGTCCACATCTATAGCATGGGTTTACCTATCAAACCTACAGAGCAATCAGTGAGGAACAGAGACCAGGTAAAAGAGCCTCTCTAGGACCCAAATTTGTCAGGTAATGTTCAATGCATGTCAGCTGAACCTGTGTCCATTCACTTCCAGGCTGTTTGTGCCATCCACAGGAAATCTATTCTATACTTTGACTGCTTTAAGCCATGTTCCAGGACAAAGAAATACCTTGTGCTGTTTATATATGAGATGACACTCTTACTCCTTCCTTCCCTCTCCCCACCATCCCATATCACATGTGCTTCTTTCTGAAAAGCCTAAATCTAAGATCTAAGGAGTCATATTTCTACATTTGCCTCTTCTGAGTCTGGGGGGAGGGGAGTAGCAGCACAAAGCAGTGGACAGAGCCAAGCCTTGAGTACTGGTGAGCTGGTGACCTTAAGTGACTCTCAAAACTTCTATGAGCTCTAGTTTCTTCATGGGAATATCATCATCCCTTCCCTCCAGGGTTGTTGTGGGAACAGAGATAGATCTAGATAGCAGGAGAAAGGGCACCAAGCACAGCACTTAGCATACAGCACTCTTTCATCATGTCTGTATCACTAGCCTGCTTCTGCTCTAATGCAATCAATTCAAGGACTTGCTTGACATCTGAAGCCATTTCATAGCCCTGAACCAAGCTGCCCAACAGAAAAAAAAACAAAAACAAACCCAACATCCAAAACCCTGTCCCTCCTTTAAACTGGCACATAGCTCTCAAAAGAGTTTAGAAGTTTCTTTATAGAGCCACCCAAGGTAGGCACAGTGAATGACAGAAGTGTGGCTGTCAGAGATAGAGGTGTAGGCTGGAAGGCCAGGTGCCACTGGTGTGGGCCTCACTGGACAAATTCTCTCCAGGGGTGCCTGGGTGGCTCACTCGGTTAAGCATCTGCCTTCGGCTCAGGTTATGATCCTAGGGTCCTGGGACAGAGCCCCGCATCAGGCTCCCTGTTCAGTGGACAGCCTGCTTCTCCTTCTCCCTCTGCCACTCCCCCTGCTTGTGCTCTCTTGCTCTTTCTGTCAAATAAATAGAAAGAAAGAAAGAAAGAGAAAGAAAGAAAGAAAAGAAAGAAAAGAAACGAAAAGAAAAGAAAGAAAGAAAGAAAGAAAGAAAGAAAGAAAGAAAGAAAGAAAGAAAGAAAGAAAGGAAGAAAGGAAGAAAGGAAGAAAGGAAAGGGCGCCTGGGTGGCTCAGTTGGTTAGGCGACTGCCTTCGGCTCAGGTCATGATCCTGGAGTCCAGGGAT